ATATAGGTTAAAACTAATTGCAACATAAGTTGCAACATTAAAAGTTGCAACATATTAATTACAGTTCTCATCTTTAACCATGATCAAAAGTTTTAGAGCAATAATTACATCGAATAGAAGGATGTATTGTATTATTATTTTCATTAATAATTATCTAATGCTTCCAAACCGCTCCTTTTCTTTTTACCATAATGTGAGAAAAAAATGTAAAAAAAGATTGATAAAAAAGATCCATGTGAAATCAATAAATAAATATAAATATAAATGAGAATTTTATTTCTAACTATATTAATTATAGCCGATTATAAATTATATTATATAAAATAAAACTTAAATTTGATTGGTTAATCATAAATAACAGTTAATTAACCAAATCTAACCAATGTTAATTAACATAAATAACGTTTAATTAACCATGATTAATTAACCAACCCTAGTGATCTGCACAGATCGGATCAGATCGGATTTGGGTAAAATCCGATTTGATCTGAATCTGAAAAATCTGAATCTGATTTGATCTGAATCTGACAAAACCGAATCCGTATCCTACAGATCAAAAAATTTTTTTAACAAAAATCTGCATCCGCCGTTTGGAACGGCATTTTAATGTTAAAAATACAACAATTTTGTTTTTTTTTAACAAAATCCGCCTCCTCGGGCGGCATTTTAATATAAAAAATTAATAAAAATTAATTTTTTTATTAATAAATGCCGCATCCGACTTTCGGGGCGGCATTTTGTTATTAAACATTAATTTTTTTAATAATAAATGTCGCGTCCGACTTTCGGGACGGCATTTTGTTATTAAAAATTAATAAAAATTAATTTTTTATTAATAAATGTCGCCTCCGACTTTCGGGACGGCATTTTGTTATTAAAAATTAATAAAAATTAATTTTTTAATAATAAATGCCGCGTCCGACTTCGGGGCGGCATTTTTTATTTCAAATCCAACAAATCGGATCTGAATCCGTCGGATTGAATCGGATTTTTTGCGGAAACTAATTAACACATCCACAACCCATCCATCTGTTTAAAAAAAATTATTGGCCAATCAAATTATTAATTATAAGCACGTGATTTGAAAATAAATCATTGACCAATCAAATAAATAAAACGCGTTATCAAATGATCAAACAGAACGCGTCTTTTGGTTTATATTATACCGGAAGAACAGGACGTTGAATACATATAAAATTCTTAGTAGTGTAAACAACGGTTAAATAAAGTTGACTTTTGAAATATGCCATCTGCTGCATCAATGGACACACCAGGTCGTCGTCATTCATTCGGAACCCCATTAAGAAGCTTCAGAGAAGCAAATGTTCCTTTGAATGATGACGCCTCGGAGATCAGATCGCGTAGAAAATCTTTAGTAGACTCAATACGAAGAAAATCCCTAAATGTTTCCGGAAGTAGTATTCCTGTTAGAGCCGGAAGTTCTGGTCTTCAAAACGTGTCGACTACTCCAAGTCGAAGAAATTCGATTAGACCTTTGGAAGTAGTCACTCCTATTCAAAAGATACCAGATGAACAAATGTATATTAATTTTGAAGAATGGATGAAAATGGCGACAGATAACGTAATTATTAATTATCCTATTTTATTCATTATTCTAAGCTAAAAGAAAATAATATTTTTATTATTAGAAAATTAATGCTAACAATAGTTGGAAGCTTGCATTAATCGATTATTTTCATGAGATGACATTATTGAAAGACGGCGATTCTATAAATTTTCAAAAGGCTTCATGTACATTGGATGGATGCGTAAAGATTTACACTTCACGCGTTGATTCTGTAGCAACAGAAACGGGAAAACTTTTAAGTGGATTGCAAAATAGCTCCAGTACTATTTATTTTTATTTTATTGTATTTTACTTTTTAAGTATGATATCAATACTAACTTGGTTTACATAATTCAAAGAAAATAATGATGAGAACGAAGAAAACGATAATCAAGCTGATCCTGATAGACGTACTCGTAAAAAGGTTTAATTATATTATTATTACACGGAAGTTGTTATTAATTAAATATTAATGAGATATTTTTTTTATAGACTACAAGATCGGAAACGGCATTGGCTAAAGACTATAGTGCATTGACTGTAAAGAAATTTGACTTAGAATTCTCGGTTGATCCTCTTTTTAAAAAAACTTCTGCAGACTTTGATGAAGGTGGGGCTCATGGTTTGCTGTTGAATCATTTGTCAGTCGACACGGATGGCAAAATAATATTTGATGCAAGCGACGCTATACCTGATGAAGATGAAGACGAAAACAGCAATGATAATATGACTATAGATGATGATAACCAACCAAAAATTGACATTTCAAAACTTCGATGTGTGTATATTATCAGATTTTTCTAATACTTTGATTACTTTATTTATTAATTAATAAAATTTATTAACTCTTTATAGCAAAGTATCTCTCAGGACTCCAACAAATATTCAATAAGGAGATTTGTCCTTCATTGCAACATTTTGATTTTTCAGGAAATAGCAATCCAGATTTTGATTATACAATGCATAATGATGATGATGGAGTTGATATAAATAGTAATGATGATGTTATTGAAGTTAATAGAAATGACGATTATGAAGAAGTAAATAGAAATGAAGATTATGAAGGAAATAATTATGATGAAGGGGTTGGTATAAATTATGAAATTTCGGGAGTTTTCGATGAAGACGACATGAATCAACATGCACGATTGACAGAAAATGACTTTGTCATGGCTATGGTCAGTAATGAAAACGAATTGTTTTCTTATTTTGACTCTGCGTTCTTACGTAATTGGGCGGGTCCTGAACATTGGAAGTTAAAAAAAACTAGTAAAAGTAATTAAATATCTGTTGTTTTCAATTTATAATTATAAATTATTATATCAAAACTTTTAATTATCTTAATTCTTTAAATAGATAAAGGAACTACAGAAACTGAAGGAGAGACAAAGGAGAGAAAGAAAAAAGAAACGGAACTTGTTACTTTTATTGAATCAGAGGATTTGGATGAGCGATTCATCTTTGCTTCTGGGAGAAGTACGATAAATGCGCCTAAGTTAGCTGAGAAAGTACCACATGGACACCTACTTCCCGACGATATGCATTTTTCGTCTAAGCAATTGCTTCAATTATTCTTAAAACCTCAAGTCATGGTAATTATTTAGCTTTGATATTTCCTTTCATAATATTTTAGAACGTAATATATTGTATAATTTTTTTTCGTAGCTTAACTCAAAACGTCAAAATGAAGCACAGGCCGAGCTCGAGTCTGATGATGGTAAGTACATTCAAAGTCGTTTTTATAACAATTAAAATCTTTTATGTTATGAATTAATAAGAATTATTTTTATTCAGTAGCTTTACCGGATATGAGTAAGTCCTAATTATAAATTGTTGATAATAATGATAAGATATATTAACTTTTTTAAATTGAGTAGCTATCTACACTACTGGAGAAGGTTTTTACAACGATAACGATTATGATTATGATGACGAATTAGAGGGCGAATTTGGTGATAATTTGGTAATTCAAACAAAGAGAAATAAACCCGAGTTTGTCAAATACGCCAAGACAGCAAAAAGAATTGATGTTAAGAAATTGAAGGAAAATATATGGAAAACATTAACTATAAATACGAAATTTTCGGGAGTTTTTGGTGACCTAAAGAAAATATATCCTCAAAAAAAGATGAAAGATATTTCGGTACCGTTTTGTTTCATTTGCTTATTACATTTAGCAAACGAGAAAAGTTTGGAAGTTACAAATGGTATTCATTTAATGGAATTACAAATTGATAACGTTAATTAAAAAGTTTTTGTTTTACAAATTTGGAATTTCATGCAACGTATCAGCTATTTTTATCATTTTTATGGATTCATTTGTATAATATTTGGAACGCGTTTTTTGAGAATTAAATTTTTTATTGGAAAGCAAAAGTTAAATTTTTATTGAATAAAAATTACCGAATAAGCGAGGTTTTTTATTTGCATTTATTAATTTATTACCAGCCAACTGGTTATTATTCTAATCCTAAATCATTAAGAAATACATGTAAAAAAGAAGAGTATCATTTCTGCTTAAAAGAATTCCATGATTTTTTAGAATGATAACATATATACCAAATACATAAATCTCTTCTGAAGAATATTCTTAGATGTAGCTATAGTCGAATAATATGCCCAAATTGTATATACTAATGTAACTTGCTATTCCTTACACATAACCATTATAAGTGTAAAAATTATAATAGTGCTTAATATAATAGATTACGCTTTCCAATATAAGGTTTCAGTTCTACTCACATCTCAAAATTTGCTAAAGTATTCAAAAAAAATATGATGATCCTAATAATCTTATTACTTATCCTGAATTACTTTAAATAGATAATGGATAGGTGAGACTTCCTAGTTAATGAAGGAATATAATGTCATAATTCAAATAGTAAAACCTTATAGTCATAGAGGTCTTACAATAGTAGAACGTTTCAGCCAAACACTCACAAAAATACTCTATAAAATCTAAGATGCTGTTAAATCTATATATTCCAATTCAAAATTAATAAAAGCATGAATTATATTTATCTATGATTATTGATTATCTAAATAATTATTCTACACATCTTATTTAAGAATCAGGGACTAAGAAATAAGAATTTGTACCTGTGAAAGCTATTATATTGGAAAAAGAAGAATTGAGACTATTAACAAAATATAAGTATCCAGTTGGAAAAGATAAAATAGCATTAAAGAAAGGTAATACGGTCTGCTATCTGCTTACAAATACAGAATGAAAAGGAGAAATCAAGAATCAAAATACGTATCTATGTGTTACACTAGTCAAAATCATTTCTTTCGGCACTAATATCTTTCGGTAAACATTCAGCTGATTCGGTCATGTGATTTGGCAAACATTCGGCTTAAGTTACAAAAATCGATAGTAATTTGTTATATTACACATAATTTAGCATTATTTCAGCATTAATACTTTTTGGTAAACATTCAGACAATTCAGTCATGTGATTTGGTAAAAATTCAGCTTAAGTTACAAAAATCAATAGTAATTTGTTATATCACACATAATTTAGCATTATTTCAGCATTAAGACCTTTCGGTTAAAATATTCAGCAAAATTTCAGTTAGACTCAAGATTTGGCAACAAATCGACTATATCTCACTGGTCGAAATCTGTTGAGCTGATTTTTACGAAAATTATAAAAACATTCTGAGAGTAATCATCCCAAAGAGACGATACATTCGTTCCCAAAGAGACGATAGAAATCGTCTCAAAAGGAACAATACATTCGTCCCCAAAAGAGGCGATAGAAATTGTTTCAAAAGGAACGATATATTCGTTCCCAAAAGAGGCGATAGAAATTGTCCCTAAAGGAACAAAATATCGTCCCAAAGAGATGATAGAAATCGTCTCAAAAGGAATGATACATTCATTCCAAAAGAGATGATAGAAATCGTTTCAAAAGGAACGAAATATTGTTCCCAAAAGAGACGAAATATCGTCTCAAAAGGAACGATACATTCATTCCAAAAGAAATGATAGAAATCGTCTCAAAAGAAACAATTCAATCGTTTCAAAAGAGACAATAGAAATCGTCTTAAAAGAAACGATACATCATCATTCCAAAAGAATAATGTTTTTTTTATTATTCTTTCAGAACGATTATGAAGAACGATTTTTGACATCGTTCTTTCAGAATGATTTTTTACATTGTTCTTAAGGAACAATGTTTTTTTTATTGTTCTTTCGAAATGATTTTTTACATCATTCTTACGGAACGATACATCATCATTTCGAAAGAATGATGATTTTTTTATCGTTCTTAAGGAACGATTCATCATCATTCTGAAAAGAACGATTTTTTACATCGTTCTTAAGGAACGATTTTGTCATCTTTCGTAAGGAACGATACATAATTGTTCCTTTAGAATGATTTTTGTTATCATTCTTAAGAAACGATCAAATTATCGTTTCTTATGAACGATTTTCTATATCGTTCCAATTGGATGGTGCAAAATCATCCATTTGGAGCATTTATGATAAATAGTATAAATAATTCAGTTTATAGTATAAAACTGATTAACTTTCGGAATATTCCGAAATAATTTATTTATTTTTTTATTTTTTTTTTTCGGAAATTTAACCTTTTCCTTTCTTTTTTCTTGTTTTTTAGGAAATTCTTATTTTGGAATTAAGGTAAGCGAATCGGAA